TAAATGCGTAAAATTCACTTGCGAATACCTTAAAAGTATATACCAACAGAGTCACAAAGCTTAATACTTGATTTGATACTGAATTAGTATCATTTCCAAAGGAAATGAGATAGAAAATTTATATAATTTACGGACATGCTACCTCACAACCTCAAATGTACATTTGAGCATTTGTACATTTGTACATTGAGCATGATTCAATTTTCACAAATCTAAATTCTCTTGCTCCAAGGAAATCCAGTCACACAGTTCCCACAGCCATCGAGAAGAACGTTGTGTTTGTAGTTAAAACTGATGCTCTTGGGAACAGGGAAGACATCAAATGTGACGATCTTGGAGGCTGGACAGTGACTGGATCCAAAAAGTTCATGTATGAAAAGAAACAAAGTAATGTCTTGAATAAAACGTGTCTGGTCGTTTGGTTTTTCTGCTTCGTCGACTATTTTGCAAAAATATCAGTCTTCCATCACTTCGAAAATCAATTGTAACTGGTGAAAACCTAAACACCAAGGAGCATCTTGATTTGGCTTTCGTGCAGTACATATTTACAGAAGGTGAGCAGCGTGTGCACGTGAAACCACATGGAAATTCCAACAACAAAACAAAAGAGTCAAAACCATACAAAAGAACCATGCAAAGTACTAAAGATCTTGTCCAAGCTAAGCTCGCAAAGCATTCACCTCGTAAAGCATTCACCTTGTAAAACATTCACCTCGTAAAACATTCACCTCGTAAGGTTGTCCATGATGTAATAGAAGAGAGAGGTGGTATCGACCAAATACAGTCGGCCGGCGAGTTTCCGCAAAATAGGACACAGATATATAATGCAAAAAGAGGTTTAGGTAACCCCAACGGCAAAATTTTGACATGTGTTAAATTTAATTTATTTAATTTAAAATGAAATTTATATTGCGCCAATTACATAAAAATGATCAAAGGCGCATTACAGGTGGATGAGAATAAAATATTACAATAATCAGAAGATATCTAAGCATTAAAAGCATGGTTAAAAAGCAGAGTCTTGATATTGCTCTTGAAGGTTGATAATGAATTAGTGGCCCTAATAGCCTTAGGCAAAGAGTTCCATAGTTTGGAGGCTGCAGATGCAAATGCTCTATTTCCCAATGTCACAAGTGATTTGCCAGGTGGTTTGCCAGCCAAAAGTTTGATGCCCGTTGTCAGCCGACTGATTGGAGCAACTCGATCGTCTGGTGTCTTTCAACCGCAATAAGTACCCACATCTGCAGTGGTCCCAGGCCCAGGGTATGTATTCTACGTCAAATGCAGTTGATGTGCAAAACACAGGATGTCCCCCAAATCAGTTTCACATGAATTTATACCATTTTAATTCACACCCCTACAGCTTGCAACAAAGCCCGTCATTCCAATATGGAATTAATCCGCAGCTACATATCCACCCTGGAAAACCGAACCCAGCACCCGGTGCGTTTGTGATAGCCTTACTGAAATTCACCGATCCCAGAGTATGTAAATGTTATGGTTGTCGTGACACCTTGAAACCAGACTCCGTAATACCTCCTTGTCCAAATGATATGATCATAGCTTCGAGACAATTTCGAAAGTATTTCAAAGCAGATGGAAAGGAGCACACATCACCAGAGCTCTCCATGGTCTACTTCCATGCACAGATATCTTGCATATTACTCCAATTCCCTGGTTATCTAGGAAACACACTTTCTGTGCCCTCTGATCTGATTCTGCACCTACAGGAAAGTCACAAACAGCTTCTAAGGAGGAGGTTCAATATCCTCCTTTGAAAGGTCATATTGTAAAGTCATGCATTGAATTCTAATGACATTTAGAAAGAAGCTCAAATGCCATAGGCTTCTAAGTAAACTTTCCATTGGTATTGGTATTGGAAGAAACTGTGTCCAACATTGCTATGTTGAATTGCAACGTTACGATAAGTTGCTTGATAATTGATATTAATCACCACAAGGTTTAAACACACACTTTGTGCGTATGCCTACGTACAGTGATAATTTATATTTATGACTTTGTTGCATTGGTTATTTATGTTTATGGAGAAGGTTCACTCCGCTGTGACTATCCGTCCAAAGGACGCAATACACTCACTTGTTGGTCCGTTCCACAAACGCAAAATACAGAAGCCATAAATAGCCATCAACTTTAATAAAAAATGAGAAAACTTTCTAAAATCATTGGTTAAGATAAACACTGTCACACACGCCAAAATCTCAATCAATGACCATGCATTAACATATTCCATCCAAGGAAAATATGACATCGTCTAAGAATAGTGCAGATTTATAAGGATACGCTTCGGGTGCCAATCTTTTGTCAATATAAAATTAAAGTGGCTAATAAAATGGCGGAATACAAAACAATCAAAACATTTTAGCGCGCAAAGCATCACAGTTGATCGACTCTGATTCGCACTCATAGTCATAGCCTAATCAATCATCTACTATATAGCTCCCTAGGCGATGCCATTGCCATAGGAAAACAAATCCTGAGCAAAAAATAATTGAATTGAATATTAATGTCACATTACATATTTGCGTTAAAAAACCATGACCATCTTGAGATTACAATATATGATTCAAAACAAGCTAGACGCAGGTCTTGTTTTGAATCATGTATTTTATTCTCAGGATGTTTTATCTTTTCAGAATTTGTTTCTTACTTTATATTTGCGTTTAATAACACACTTTAAAATATATTTGTCTTAAACTTAAAGATGATTTTCAATCATTGTCCTGTGTCCATTGGCATTGTTATATGAACTAGACTCCATTTTCTATATATTTGTTGTTTGCAATGCCGTAATTTTGGGATTTCAGTTCACGGGCAGGTATACGAAAAACGGCTAATTCAATATATTAATCGAGTTTTTGAGACCGTTTTAAGACTCAAAAGATGAATTACCGTTCAGTTTTTACAAGTTGTTTGATTGCCCGTCATTTGTGTAAAAAGTCACATGATTGCAAACAAGACAAACAACGACATCGACTGTTAGTCTGTTATATATATTCAAAGTATAGATTAATATAGACCATAGATATCTATGTTGTAGACATAGTGGACATTTAAATCTTACAGAAGTGGAACAAATATTGATTCATAATTTTGTATCGACATTTTATTCATAATATTGCCGACGGTATATTATGTAAATTAACATAGCTATGACACCAGCGACATACTAAGTATTCATATTATATTAAAAAGTGTCCAAATATGTTATTGCTTGCGTCTCCCAGATCAAATTGCCGTTTGTTGCATTGTAATATAGTTGAACTCGTTGTAATTTAATAGCCTATACCTGTGGCGAATCTTATCAAAATACATATGAATTAAGCACCGGTGTCTGTGATATACTTACTCGTCATACTCATGCTGTATTTTGATGTATGCTGCTGCAATTTAGATATATATATATATATATATATATAATGTTACTAGGTGAGCTCACAATGTTGTTAAGTAAAAACTGTCAAGTTCACGACTATAAGTAGGAAACTGTTACAAAACAAAATAAGTTTCTATTTGTAGTTGTGAACCTGACAGTATTTTACTTGACAGTATTGTGGGCTTGCTTATTAACATCAGGGCTGCCACTCTCGATAACCTATTTTCACCTAGGGCGGGCACTGAAATCCCCTACGTTTCCCCTACAGCACAATATGCAATTTTCCGGGTAAACAAAAATTCTACGCTATAAAGCAATAAAAAGTGACACACAGAAATCAAATGAAAATTATGCCAAGTAAAGTCGGCCTTGCTGTCTGGCGTTCCTGCAAAGGAAAAAGCCTGGGAACGAGGTTGACATGAAGTGTAAACTACCTATTACTGTAAAACCCGAGCAAAATTGCAAAAACCTAAAGTTTTTTCAGAAAACCAGGGTGTGTGGAAATTGTAGTGGGCTCAAATCCGAGCCTGGTCAGTGGTAATTACTATGAGAAATACGGACCAGTTGTCATGGAAATGCCGTCAGCAAAGGCCAAAATATGCCATGTTTTTGGCTGCACTTTTTTTCGCATGCAGGTTATCCTGGGTAAATACAATACACTATCACTCATCGCATGATATTTCAGTGCTTCCACATTCAAATTTAAATTTCTAGTTGTTTCATAAAAAAATCCTGCAGTTCCATACAATCGGCCATACTCCATAGACCGTAGAAGCCATAAAATACTGAAATTTAAGAAAGGACTGATTTGGACAATCACAAAAAGAGAAATACGATTTTTGTAGATAAACCGTAAAAGAAACCCCTACGTTCCCCTACAAATTATCCTTTTCCCCATAGGTATCCCCTACTCCCTACAAGAGGTGATAATCCCCTACCGTAGGGGAATCCCGCTACGAGTGCCAGCCTTGATTAACATTATAATAGAATGACGTCACACAAACATTGTTTTCAAATGACAAAACTTAATGAACAAACTTTCAAAATTTTACGCTCAACTGTAAATCGCAGTATTTTGAGACCATACTTTTTTTCCTGTTGTTTCGTGTGACTGCTTTTAAAAATACTTCACACTATGAAAGCAGCATTGTTTTATTGTTCAAAGCTGGGTTAGTGGCATTCAGGCTATTTAACTCTCCTTTTGAAACGCCTCTGCTTGACCTAACCCAAGGCTCAAGATTTGCAGTATCCCGATATCCACAGGATACCAGATTTCAATTTTGGATACTGGATTTCATAGACTTTATATACCCAACTGGATACAAGAAAAGGGAGTGATACCAGCTTTTAAGGTGCCAGTATCCATCTGGATACAAGAAAAAAAATCAAATATTGAGCCCTTTTCTCACCTTAAATAATAAAGTATGATAATTTTTTTATGAATCTTACATTTTTTGCTTATCTTTGTTTAGGTACACACATGCTGGACATGTACTATTACACAATTGGTAACATATGTCTAAAGTTTAGATAAAAAAGATGTGCAGTTAGATTATTTGCCATTGCCATTGCAAATCTTGTGAAGAAGTATGGTATTGATTGCATTATGAAACCACTGGTTGAAGATTTGAAACTCCTATACAATGGTTACCAAATGGAGATTAATGGCATAGAGCAAGTCATATATGGTAAAGTCCTGATGTGTACTGGTGACACCCTTGGTCAACTTACTGGGCAGGATTTAAAGAAGGTAGTTTGTGTTAAATTGTTAATGTCATTAGGAATGTACAGGACTCAAGAGTGTTTTTTTTTACCAGACGTATGCAAGTGGATATTAGCATCATGAAATGCAGTATCCCATCTTGTGTTATCACTAGTTAGTGTTTATTGATCTATTTGACAAACAACAACAAAATACAGGTACATAGAGTAAGGACTAACTGCCAAAATGTTTTGAAATTAACTGCATTGGTAATTTTATTTATTATGATATTTAGCTAATATTCATATCCATGTTTAATTAATAGTTAATATCCATATCTAATATGATATATCTATATGGTTTGTATCCATACAGGAAACTCCAAATTATAAGCCCTGGGGCTACAGTGTAGTTGTTCAAAGCACAATCAATGCTAACCCTGGTTAAAATTTAACCCACTGTTTTTGGTTTAATATGTAATATGTATTCTGGAAGTCTGTTTATTTCAAAACTTAAGAAAATAAAACTTCAATTAGTCTAGATCAAATTTCTGGAGCATTATTTCCAAGCTTGTATAAAAGCAATTGGGAAGTTTACTTTGAATTTTACATTAACCCAGGGTTAAACTAACCAGCTTTTGAACAACTGGCCCCTGGATGGTTATAAGGCTGTGTTAACCCATTTAAGTGGCAATGCACCCAAGTGAGCCCTGCCACCAGACAATTTTATTCGTCAAGAGGAGACCTTGCTGCTTAATGGTTAAATTAATTAATATGACGAGAGTGTTGTACTGTACAATAGGATCTATACCTTGGGATCTCATAAATGTTTCTGAGTAAAAATAGTGCATGAAGAATATCTTCTCTTTCAGATATTTTATAGTTCTGAATTGTCTATAGGAGGAAGATACTGTTTATAAAATTGCTTCTGATTAAAATGATATTTTTGTTTGCTTTGAAGGCATTGGTGCAGCATTTCAGAAGTGCCAACATTGCCAGTGTGCATTCGAACAAATGCAAACTGACTTCCATGAGTCTGCTTTTAGTCTTCAAACCAAAGAAAGTTATGATGGCCAATGTGATGAGATTGAACAAGCCCCAAATGAGAACATAAGGAAGGATCTTCAGACCACTTATGGAATTAATAAGAGAAGTATACTTTGCCAGCTCCCCACCTTTGATGTGACGAAACAGCTTCCCCAAGACACCATGCACACATTATTGGAAGGAACTGTTCAATATGAAATTCGTCTAGTTCTACTCCATTACGTCCAATCGGGTACAACCACTTTGTCACAAATCAATGGTGCAATTACCAGTCATAGATATGGCTATTCTGAGATTAGTGACAAACCAGATCCTCTCAGAGAAACTGTATTCTTTGGCGATGAGCGATACAAGCTTAAATACAAGGTTGCACAAGCAAGAATGTTTCTGAGATTATTGCCATTCATCATTGGTCCTTTGGTCGATTCAGAAGATCCATACTACCTATTCTTGGTGGAGCTTATCCATATTGCTCAACTGGTTTTTTCCCCAGTTATAAAGATTGGCACTATCCACTACTTGAAGCAGATAATTGATGAGCACCTTTCTAATTTCAAGAAGCTGTTTCCCAATTCAAATATATTGCCGAAACATCACTATTTGGTCCACATCCCATCTACTATCCAGCAACTGGGGCCAATGGTTCGTTCTGCTTGTTTTAGTTTCAAGTCTGCCCACAGTTACTTTAAAGTGGTAGCTAGAAAGCAGAATTTTAAGAACTTGCCACTGTCTCTCGCTAAACGTAACCAGTTTAAAGAATGCTGCAACTTTCGTGATTCTAGTGAAAGCCCAAGCTCTCACCCACTGTCCTCAAGTGAAAAGTTAGAGTTTTAAAGAAAGTGGATGCAGAAAGTTGTCAATTCCTTCAGGAAAAATTTGATGTCTCTAGCTTGCTACCTGGTATTAGTTTAGCTAATGCTTGCAAAGTGAGTTGGGTGGAGCTTTATGGAACCAAGTACAAGAATGCGGATGTACTTGCAGTTGATGCCCATGGAGATCCCATTTTTCCTGTGTTTGGTGTCATATCAATGCATATGGTCAGTGAACAATTACGTTTATTTCGAAGTGGAGTTGCTGCAAGCTGTCTGTTTTGACTACCTTCACTAGGCCTACCAGGTGACAAAGCTTGATGGTGGAGAGAGTTGTGGAAGGGTTTTCTCGTACGAAAGCATAGTGGATTATAATGTTTTCCATATCAAGAAAGACCATTATGGTAACCAGTATGTTCCAGTTAAATATGACATTGATGATCTTATGGAAGACCATGTGGAAGGAAGAAATCCTCTGATGACATAAAGGTACCTCATTATACAGTAATATCACATTGACACCATTGGGGCTAAACTTTTGCTAGATGGTTGTTTGCTTTGGCATAGAGTATTATATAGTGCTTTTTATGTATTATATATTGAACAATAATTTCATCCTGGAAAACAAATTATTCCTCAATAAAATGAAACTAGTAATAATGAATGATATATATTCACTGCATGCAATTATATAAATACCATATTCTGATAAACCCTGTTTATTTATAACCCTTTAAGTGGCAATGCACCCTAGTTTAGTATTTTACTCTGTCTAACACCAGACGATTTTACTTGTCAAGTTGAGAGTGCTGCCACTCAGTGGGTTAACCAAACAAACTGCCCATGCATCTTCTTAACCCCTTAAGTGGTAATGCACCCAATACTTTAGTATTTTACTCTGTCTAACGCCAGACGATTTTACTTGTCAAGTTGAGAGTGCTGCCACTCAGTGGGTTAACCAAACAAACTGCCCATGCATCTTCTTAACCCCTTAAGTGGTAATGCACCCAATACTTTAGTATTTTACTCTGTCTAACGCCAGACGATTTTACTTGTCAAGTTGAGAGTGCTGCCACTCAGTGGGTTAACCAAACAAACTGCCCATGCATCTTCTTAACCCCTTAAGTGGTAATGCACCCAATACTTTAGTATTTTACTCTGTCTAACGCCAGACGATTTTACTTGTCAAGTTGAGAGTGCTGCCACTCAGTGGGTTAACCAAACAAACTGCCCATGCATCTTCTTAACCCCTTAAGTGGTAATGCACCCAATACTTTAGTATTTTACTCTGTCTAACGCCAGACGATTTTACTTGTCAAGTTGAGAGTGCTGCCACTCAGTGGGTTAACCAAACAAACTGCCCATGCATCTTCTTAACCCCTTAAGTGGTAA